GGCCATGAACATGATCCTTGGTCTTCACCCTTACCATCAGGCTCAAGTACACTGGTTTAGAGGCCATGCAGCCCTCTTCTTCCTTGTACACCTCGTCAGTGCAGGGCACCTATGTGCGACGGCCCAAAGGTAAAACAAGCCAGCCATCCCGGTAGTAGTCCTGCTCAACCAGCAGCTAGCTGTTGTGAAGCATGCGTAAAACCTACACAAGCATTACACATGGTAACGCTGTTTGGATCTAGCTGCAATCTATGTGATTGCAGCTTGTTCGCGTGGCCACTTCATCTGCCGTACGTACCAGCCACCAGCTCATTTGCCGTAGTCCCTGCTCTATCTGCATGGCTTGCTCGCTCAACCCCTGCTGTCCATCCTATTTGCCTGGCATGCAGGCACCGGCCTGTCCTTGGACTGGTTCTGCTTCTACCAGGGTCAGGACCTGCTGGATGATGGCAGCGGCAACACCTATGTCACGATGGAGGACTTTCCGGACATGTACGACAACGGAGGCAATGCGGTCGCCCTGGCGGATGTGTGCCTGAGCGATCCAGAGTGTTTTGCTTTCAACACAAACCAAGTGAGTGGGTGTCTCTGCGTGTTGGGGTGTCCACCTACAAGTCAACAGTTCCTGAGTAATGAAGGGATAGCATGCATGCAAGTGTGTCATTAGGACTTCTGAAGGTGTTGAACAGAAAAAAAACAACTAACCTTTCTTTGTCCTCCGGCGGTACCCGACCATGTGCTTTCCAGGAGTTGAAGTCAACTGCCAACCTGTCACTACTGTCGGTCGTCCCCGGCACACATCCTGGACAGGGCCTGTACGTTCGAGCCTTCTTGCCTGCACGTAGGTCACTGCAGGAACCTTAAACTGCAACGGATTGGGGCACGAACAATGTATCGTACGTGGTGATATCATTTGGCAGTGTGTGGAAGAAGCACGAAATACTTATGAAGAGATGATCGGTCCCAGCCACACATAGCTATTACTACCGGCATTTGGCCATTGTACGCTCCCGGTTGTGCATTTTCTGATCTATAACGTGTGCAATCTTAATTTGCTATACCCCCCTGCAGCCCCCCCTGACATGCCAAGCCTTCCACCACCAAGTTCGCCCAGCCGTCCCCCGGCGTCCTCCCAGCCACCCTCCCAGCCACCCTCACCGGGTAAGCGACCACCTTCAACGCCACCCTCCCAGCCACCCTCACAGCCACCCCCACCGGTTAGGCGACCACCCTCCCAGCCACCCTCACAGCCACCCTCACCGCCTAAGCAACCACCTCCAACACCACCCTCCCAGCCACCCTCCCAGCCACCCCCACTGGTTAATAAGCGACCACCTCCAACACCACCCTCACAGCCACCCTCCCAACCACCCTCTCCGGCACCGCCACTGCCTTCACCACCGCCATCATCACCGCCACCCTTATCTCTACCGTCACCGTTGCCACCCGCGCCCAGGCCCGCGGCCCCACCCGTGCCTCAACCTAAACCGGCGTCCTCACCGCCACGGGCGCCACCCTTATCCCCTCCCTCACCTCCATCCTCACCACCTCCCAAAAAGACACCCTCTCCATCCCAGCTACAGCCACCCTCACCACCACCGCTACCGCCGCCCTTGCCGCCACCCTCACCGCCACCCTCACCGCCTCCTAAACCGCCACCCTCACCGCCTCCTAAACCGCCGCCCTCGCCGCCACCCTTGCCGCCACCCTCACCGCCGCCCGCGCCGCCACCATCACCACGGCCGCCTTTGCCGGCTCCACCAGAACACTACGGTAGGACTCCGTAGTTGGGATGATTACTTGCAAGGAAATCCGTTCTGCATCTGAGGACAGCGTGTTATACCTAGTCACAAACGTTACTGTCACCCACTTCCACGCACAGAGCTCCCCGGCTACTTGGCTACTTGTGTCAAGGACACCAACAGCAGTGACCGCGCCATGACGAAACTCTTGACTGGCGACGTGGGCATGTCGGTGGAGAGATGCCACACTTTGGCGACAACAAATGGTGAGAGGGTAAATATTTGTCGTGCATAATTGCTCAGCAAAAAATCATGTAATGACAAAATAAAAATGTTGCGTCATTTCGTAGTAATTAATTTGAAAAACAAATAAGTAAAGTATTATTTAATTTCTAGCATTCTCAACAGCTCGCAGTAATTACTGCACGCCCCGAGCTTCCCCGGCACTCAAAACATGTGGGCGAGCCTCCCCTCGAGGCCGTAATAACCCCACCACATGCAGGCCGAAAGCACATGTATGGGATGGGAGCCAAATCGATGGAGACTGAAAGGGTTTCGCCGTCCTGAGGGTCCCTCAACCACAGGTGTCAGGCCATGCATAACCCCAAGCATACATACACCTCGAAACCGCACATCCCCCAGCCGAGTCCGGCCCCCATCCACAAACCCCTCCACTCTACCTACTAACTCTACCTACTGTACGGCAACGCAGGCTACTCATACTACGCTCTTGAGGGTGGCAGCGACTGCTATGGCGCCGAACTGAGCGAGCTCACAACCTCCCTGCGGTACGGCTTGTGGCCCGAGTCGACCTGCTCGACTCGCTGTTTCGGCAACAGCAGCGAGATATGCGGCGGCGCCTCAGCAGCCACCCTGTATCTGAACTTGGAGCCGTACGTGTACCTCGGTTGCTTCGGTGACAACAAGAACCGGGCGCTACCAACGAAGCTTGAGGCCAACAACAACACTATGAGCAGTGCGAGATGCCAGGCTTTGGCAAAGGCAAACGGTAGGTAGCTACATACAGCCGGAAATTAGCTCCAGCAGCCAGCAGCTCCAGCTAAACAATTATGGTGGAGGCAGGGCTTCTCTGCCAACAAATACTTTCTATCATCGTTTAAATTGTATGAAAACAGTAACACAATTTACGTAGGAAATCGGCCGGTCTGATAACTAATCCCAGGCGTTTTATCGTTGCGTAGGGTACCCTTTCTACGGCACCCAGTTCACTTCGGAATGCTGGGCTGGCAACGATCTAATCAAAGCCATGTCATTTGGCGTTGATCCTGGAGCTTGTAACATGACGTGTGCTGGACGAAGCGGGGAGAAGTGCGGCGCCAGCATGCATAACAGCCTGTATGCCATTGTTGATTCAAGTGGCTACCTTGGCTGCTTTGGTGACGGCCCTACAGCGGCCATGGACTGGTTGGTCCTACAAAGCGGTAACATGACCATCGATCTATGCCGCGATTTTGCAAAGCATGCTGGTAAGTACGGCAGGCAAGTTAATCTGTAGTACAGGTGCTGCTGCATTTGTTTGGAGCCACAGCTAGCTCTAGCTACCATTGCAGGACTGTGTTCTATGTTTCGGGATGGGTTTACCATTTATCCTGTTTAGGCAGCATGTACGAGAAATCTGCCCTGACACTTTGGTCCTATCCAACTAATGCAAAGTAAGCCTGGATCTTTGCTTAATCCCGCCTTACCTTCCATGCAGCCTACCGGTACTTTGCCCTCGGGGATGGAAGCAACTGTTTTGTCAGCAATAATGTCGAAGCCGTCACAAAGTACGGCACCAAAACCTATCGTGGCAACAGCGCCAAATGCAACATGGCCTGTGCTGCAAACAGCAGCCAGATATGCGGCGGCCAGAATTCAATCAGCTTCTACATCCTCAACCGCTATGATGGTTTCCTTGGCTGCTACGCTGACGGCGCCACCAACCGTCCCCTTCCGAAAAAGCTCGCAACAAAGGACTCGACCATGTCTGTGGAGAAATGCAGATCACTTGCCCAGTCTAAAGGTAATATGCAGTCAAGTGCCCGTTTTGCGTGAGCAGTTCTTGTTGCTTGTTTGCCAAGCATGGTGCGACATTGAGGGTCACTGCTGACATCAACCCTGACCTGTTCCCCGTTCACTTCCTTCCTAATTAGGTTACCCGTTCTTCGGCCTACAAGGTTCATCCGATTGCTTAGCTGCCGACGACTTGCAACGGGCTACAAGCTTAGGCATGAGTACCGCCTGTATCAACAACGCTACAATGTGTGCGGGGAATAAGTACCAGATTTGCGGTGCTGAGTCGGCAATTAGCCTTTATGCTGTCATCTAACCTGTATGATAGTGAATCAACTGGTCGATAGCTAGCATCAGCATTGCTTGGTAAGGCAACAAGGCAAGGACAGCTATGAGGAAGTACTTGCTTACCGGCGGCTTGCTTACCCACACGTGCAGAAATGCCGTTATTTCTTACTTATGGGTACAGTGGAACGCTTGCTTGCAGCAGGTCTGGTGGCTGGTACCTAAGGGCTGTTGGTAGGTGGCTAGTGGTTGGTGGCGGCTAGTGGATGGTTGAGTGGCTAGGATAGTGAAAGGCAGGTGGCTTATGGCTTATGGTCGGTGGATGGAGCTTGTTTATTTGTGTCTGGTCGTTAAGTTACCTCTTCACGTGGGCTCCAGGGGAGGAAATAAGAATTGCTTAAACCTATTTCTTGCGTGGCGTACTTCATTTCGCAACGGCGAGTAAATTGAATTGAACCCCATCGGGAGTTAAAGAGAAAGTTACTTAAAACTTCATACCGTTGTGTTAAGTCTATTAACGAACCCGCATCTATCTACGTACCTACGCCGTACGGCAAACATGTTCTACGAGTTGTAAACTTAGCCATCGATGCTTGATAAAACGTTAGGCTCCTCTGCAAAGTAGGCTCTATTCTAACTAATAATACCGGACCAGACCGACCTCATAGCCTGTCCTGCATGGGTCCGCCGGCTAGATAGATAGCTAGATGCCGAATACTTAATCCTGCAGGGGCATTCCCCATTTCCCACCTCATCCCCGCCTCTGCTGCTGTTGAAACCCCTTCTGGTGCCAGCACCTTGAACTACCTTCACCGCTTACCCCTCAGGTATGCACGCATTGCACACCTGCTGTATTTGCGGTTCAGGACCGGTCAAACGCACCGTTTAGTGGGGTTCACCGGGGGTAGGGGGTAGGAAACGCAAACAAAGACCCCATATTCCATATATAAGTAGCTTTGCGTGGGAATACCTAATTTACTTAATAAAATTTTTGGGGCTTGAAACGGAAAACGGCATGGGCTTGCAGAATTAGTTGTACAGCAGGGGTGGGTAGGTGGGTAGGTGGATCAACGACGTTTTCATGAACCTCCAGGTAATTCGCTGCAAAATTCCAAAGGGACATTTGCCCAAGTGCTTGCCCATTGTTTCTATCACCGTGATATGATTTCAACACGAGAAAGTAGCACGTTTTGACCAGTTAAGTGCTTAAGTCCAATCGATGAATGGACCCGCCCTATGCTGTAAGAAGAAAACAGTACGGAAGTAGAAAACAGTACGGAAGGAACCCCTTCCCATAGTGCAAACCCTCGGCATCGCACTATCTACTGCGCTCCAGTTATCTACCGGCGGTCATCGCCGTAATTCAGGCCGTCCCTACCACTCCTCACGTCCCCACCACGACTGCTACTCATTGAAGCCAGCGAAGGCCACCGCCGATGTCCCGGCGCCTGCTGCGACTGGCGCCACTGCTGCCTCTGCCTCTACCACCACTCCTGCGGCCGCTGCCCCTGACACGGCCCTGTCTGCCTAAGCTGCAGCTGCTGCCACAGCATTCAATCAGCAGGCCTCCCTCATCAGTCCCAGTCACGCCGTGATCGCTCCTTCTTGCGCGATGAGTCCTTCTTCTTGGCGTCCAACCGTCGCTCGTGGCCCGCCTTGATGCTGCAGAGGCGGCACGCGGAGAGTTAGGAAGCAAGACTTTCAGCGAGGAAAGTTAGGAACGAGACATTACCGATCGAAAGGATTCGGATGTCTGGTGGTATTAAATATGTGCCTGGTGCCAGTTTCGAAATTAGTGCAAGCGTTAATTGGTGGCAAACCAGGTGAGCTGCTGACACGGACCCCGGCAGGGGAATCCACTGCCCCTTCCGTGACCCCAGTTGATAAGAGAAGATGCTGAGGCAGGGGCTGGGTATGGCTGCGGGAAGGTACCTTTAATGGCGGGTGCGTGGATGGCACATGGGTTTGCACTGAGAAAGTGCGGTGCGCAATACGGCCGCTACGGCATTAGTTGGGTGTACGTAATAATGTACGGCACGACTCACTTGGCCTTGACCCGCTTGATGGTCTCCGGGTCCACCTCCTTGGGTGTGACCGCCTCCACTGCTCGGTCCAGAATGTCTTGTAGCTTGGAGAGAGCGTCATCGAAATTTTGACTTCGTGCAGGGTGGGTTGTGCAGGCGGGGGAAAAAATTAAATAAGTGAAACAACGAGTCCCAATCCCATATCCTGACTCATGCAGTGAGCGCATTCGGAGACACTATCCTAAAGACACGCATCTCAGGCGGGGGAGGGGAGTAAGGGAGTGTAGGGGAGCAGGGGAGTACCAGTACATGCGGCGATGGGACATTCAGGATGTTGCTGATGGTACCGTAAGGGGGCAGGGAGATGGGGTGTTGGGTGATGATAGTGGCGATGAACGCCGAAAGGCAGCGGGAGGGAAGTGGGTCGGGGTGGTGTTGTGGACTGCGCGAATCGCGGGTGCAGCCGCAATGTCTGCTGCATGCATGCCCCCGCTCACGACTAACCAACGCACTTGTTTTGTAGCACCCTGCCGCCTCCTATCCCCGTTGCGTTGCCCTAACCCGTGGTTTCCCATGCTTCGGTAATGTCTATGTCCTTCGACCCTCCCCCCCCCACTTACGACTGCGTGCGGTGCCGCTGCGACTGCACCACCAGCACCCCCTCGCTGGTGAAGCGGTTCTTCTCCTGAGGAACGGTACGGCAGCAGGGCAACGGCAGGGGGCATGGGTAGAGATAGAAGGGGACAGTGGCAGAGGGGAGGGGCAGCAAGGGATGTGGCCCAGGGGGGAGGAGCACAGCGAGAGGCGGCAGGGGCAGCAGCGAGGAGGCAGCGGGGGCCGTCTATCTGGATTAAGACACGAACCAGCCCAGTCCCCTCATCATCATCATTATCATCAGCACTACCATCCTCGCCCCCGCCCCCAGCCCCATGCCACCCCTGCCCCACCCCGCCCCGCCCCGTCCCGCCCCGTCCCGCCCCGTCTTCCTACCATTTGCCGCACCGCCTCCTTGACCTCCTCGGGTATCCAGCCGGCCTTGCCCAGGTCCAGCCGCATGTCCACCTTGGTGCTCACCTTGTTGACACTGGGAGGGGCAGGAGAGAGGAGAGGCAGGCGAGGATAGGGGCAGGCGAGAAGAGGGGCAGGCGAGAAGCGGAGGGTAGGTGTGGGGCATGGAAAGGGAGTTATAGAGGCGAGGTGGGAGTCGCGAGGTGGGAATTAGACTGCGATAGGTACCCCCATGTGACACAACAACAACCCGACACGCGCCACCCAATGCCGTACACAGGCCCTCCTCGCGGCTTAACAGGATCTAGACAAACCGCCCGGCAGTTAGCTTAACGGTCGAGGGGCTGCCGCCGCCGCCTTACTTCTGTCCTCCAGCACCACTGGAACGCGCGAAGGAGAAATCCACGTCATCTGACGGGCCGGGGGCAAGCCGCGGAGTGGGAGGACGGGAGGGAAGGAGGAATGTTGGTTGCATGCAGGAGGAAGTGACTTTTGAGTGCGAGGGTGAGGTGCTGGTGAGGTGGGTATGTGGCGTTGCGGCCGACACAGTCAGAGAGGGAAACAGGGCATATTTTAAGTGCATTGCGGACGAAGGCTTAGCACGCTGGCTAGGAAGCAGGCATACACAACGGATGCAGATAACGAGGGGGTGAAGATGGGGTCAGGATGCAGGGAATGGCTGGGGCAAGCCACTCAAAGCCGTTTCCAAAGCCATGCTTCTTAGGGCCTGCTATCCTTCTTTCCCATGCCGTCTTCGCGCTCCCTCCTCCGCCATACCTTTAGTTATAGGCCTGACACTGTACCAGGGTTTGGATGGCTTCGGCGCCGCTACTGCAGCATCCAATGCATCGCCTTGCGCGCTAGCTGCCACAAAGCGGCGCACCGAATTCCGTGCAAAAGTGCATATTGGCTGGAAAGGTGCTATTCGATAAGCCGACTGCCTCGCACATTGAGACAAGGCTTGTAAGTGGAAGTGTCGCTGGCAAAGCCCAACGAAGCAACTCATAGAGCCCATTAAGTGCACTTTATGGTAGCTGTTGGTTGGCACTGGAGCCACTTATCGTATGGGAGGAAAGGAAAGAAATGAGTCGTGTGGAAGCCGGAAGTTTAGGCTGCGTTTTGTTAGCCCTGATTTATTCAATACAGTGCTGATGCAGTGTGGACAAACTTTGGACCTCTTCACTTTTGTTCGGGTGTGTTCCACCTCACCAATGACTGACGAGCAATAGACAGGACCACTAACGTAGTCCGCAAGCAATCCGTAGACAATTCAATTCGCTATCGCTCGGAGGTCATGGCTAGGCCGCAATTGCTGAATGCAGTGATTTGGGTCAACAAGCGACAGCCACATGCCTGGAAATAGCAACCTTACACGCAACTACCAAGCCTCAAGCACAAGTCCTTTAGTTGGAGCCCAATGTGTCATTGCCGCAAAAGCTTTGATGCGGGGCACCTACCTGTCGGGGTCGGCGGCATTGCATGTTGCAAGCACGGCGAGCCTTCTTAACGCGTATTACCCATTCTAGTAACCACATGAATGCCAGTAGGGTTTTTAAAAGTTTTGGCCCAAGTCGGTTGCGCTCGGTCGTGCAATCCCGCGCTTATATTCACCCGCGCATAGGAACGAGCGCACGTAGGATAAATCCATTCCCGCGCTCGGGATAACTAGAAGGGCCCAGCGCACGGAATCTTTAAGAAGCCAATAAAGCTTATTAAAGGCAACAGCAATGTGTCTCGTGCCTTTACCAGGCCAATAATTGCAAAATACTTCCTCGAGGGCTTCGGAGGTACTGCGCTACATCGTGGGCAGCAATAGCGTTACTCCTGGCTTTCCACCTATCTTATCCACCTAGCTAGTGGTCTGTGGTCTCCCTAGGCAACCAGAAATTATGGACAGTGAGAACAGGGCTCGTATCTTGCTCCTCCTTGCCCTTGGGCAACAAATGATGAAGATCAACGCAGAAATCATATCGATCGCCGCTTGCTTCCTGACAACCGTTCTCCCCGCTATGGTCTCCTTAATCCTCGACAGCAGCGATGATGAGGACGAAATTACCGCCGCTGCTGAAGAGTACGACGGCAATTCTCTTGGGTACGACAGCAACGACAGCAGTGGCTACAGCAATGTCAGCAGTAGCCACAGCAATGACAGCAGTAGCTACAGCAACGGCAGTGGTAGCTACAGCAAGTGTGGTGAAGGTAGCGATGGTGGCAACGACGAGGCGACAGATTTACCGGATCGATCTGGTTTCGGCGACAATGGCAGCACTGGCGGTCATAGCCCTACCGGTGATAATGAGGATGATCATGGTGTGTACGACACCACCGAGATGGTGAACAGCAGCGAGTACGATGCCGATGATGATGCTGATGATTACGATGATGATGGTCATGAGGGGTCAGGCTGCGGTGTTTGTGTAAGCGTGCAGCAGCAGCAGCAGCGGCCGCGGCGGCAACAGCTGGATGTCACCCCCACCTCCGCACGTCGGCAGCGGCGTGCCGATCCCTCCTTTCCTGCTGCCAAGCGCCTGCGTACTGCAGGCCCCATGTCGGACCTCAAGCCAGGCACCATGCCAGCTGACGATGGAGGCTTACCCACGGAAGATGCTGGCATGCCGTAGATACGGCGGGTAGTCGGCGGGGAGCTAGTATGTGAATGCATGAGTGAATGGAAGGTTGATCGTTGCAGTGGTATCATGAGGGGCTGTTGGGGCGACCCGGGCGGAAGGGCGGGGTCTGGGCTTTGGTAGGTTGTTGGTTGAAAAAAGTTTGCCTGGTGGGGGCGTTGTGCGTGATGGCACCATGCCTGGTCTGGCGCGTTTGTATATCATTTTGCGCGCGGAACGGCACAATGCGTGGCAAGGCATAATAATTTAATGAACTTGTGTTGCTTAGAACGCCCAGATGTACAGCAACATGCCTGAAGATACCTTAAAGCTGCAGCAGGGTGGCTTCACTTGCAGTGGCGGCTCCGTTTAGAGGTGTGTCTTCTGTGTTGTGATTATGAAATGCGGTCTGTGAGTAAACAGTTACATGTGTCGACGTGCAGCGTCGTGAAACGACCCAAGTGGTGTTCCTAAGTGGTGTTCCCGGGGCGATTTATGCTGTGCGTACATAACGGTGGCGGTTGCCGTACATACCTGACGCTGCAACATGCGTGGTAGCGTGAAGAAAGAATGTCTGGTTTCTTTGGTCTTCAGCCTGTATTGCTTATCCCAGCAGAGGTATTGTCGTTAGGGTGGTAGATGCTGGAATGACTGGCTGGGCATGATGGCTGGTTGCCTGTAAATGGTCAGTGCGGGGTGTAGAGTCTAGCCGTATTTCTAAAAACACCAGACTGGAAGGGAGCTTCCGTTGATATACCTGCAACAACTGGGGTCGTACTCAATCCCTTGGGCGCTTAAGACATGGTTGTTCGGCGCAGGAGGAATAACAGCTGGTCCGTACGACAGACTTTGGTCCATAAACAGCTTTTAGCCACCGTGCATGTAATCCTTTTCCGACGTGCAACACCTTATGCGCCGCTCACCCCTGTGACCCCTCTTCGGTACGGTCCGGTGTTCCAACTTCCTTCAATCCTTGGCGCCGCAGAAGCCTGCACGGGCTCAAGTATTTCCAACCCCTGTACGTTACCCTTTCAGCTTGCAAATGTCCTTTTCCAGTGTACCCACTCTTTCGTTGAGAGGCGAACAGCGGCCTCCCTGTGCTATGTCGCTGCAGTGCCGCTGGGTTGTGCCAGTGAGCTGGAGAAACAGGCGTACGGCAGGTAGTAAGCCTATGTAAGAAGTCATAGTTGCAAGCACTATCTGCCACATGCTGTTATATTGAAACATCACGTATTCCGGTTCCTGCTAACCAGATCCGTCCTCTTAGCACCGCGTTTCCGGTTAAGTAACACTTCTTCCGAAGCGATTTTCCTCCACTAATCGTTAAGATGATTATATCTAAAAGTGTATTAATGATGTAGTTGTGCATTTCGGGAAGAAAGGACTGCAGACCGAGGGCTTGGGAAAACACGCAAACGGCGATGGCTCAACAAATGGCGCTTGACGACCGGGTCTTAAAATGTATGGGCGTCGGGAAATGCTTCAAGGCAAGTAATTGTCTAAATGCACAAGTTGCTTTTAATCCCACAACCGCACAACCCCGATGTTCGTCGCCTCTTCGGTCCTAAAGGAGGGCCACATGCGGATAAACTCCATGGACTTCTGCCGAACGGAGGACCTACTAGTAACGGGTAGTGACGACGATTCTATCCGCGTATACAACGTTGCTCGGGGAGTCCCTGTGGACACATTGCACAGCCGAAAGTACGGCGTGCAGAATGTTTGCTTCACTCACCACTCCGACTGCATCATCTACGCTTCTCGAAAGGTGCGAGGAGCTAGGGCAGGGAGGGGTTGGATCTTGGGCGCCATCTTACTAGCCAAATCAAGCCGTAGTTCAACACACTGCAACCTCCCACGCGGCTCACACGCCGGCCAGCACGACAGGCCCTCTCTTCCCTTCCCGTTGTCAACTTTCCCCAGATTCCACCCTTCACCACAGGGCCTCATGCAGCGCGGCCTCCCCTCACTAAGCCCCCTCCTCTCCTCTCCCTCCCTCTGCCTCTGCCCCTGCCCCTGCTCCCCCCCCAGGCTGCGGGCCCCCAGGTGAAGCCCACGGAGGCGCATGCGCTGCGGTACCATTCGCTGCACAGCAACCAGTACCTGAGGTACTTCATGGGGCACACGGCGCAGGTGGGGGGGCGGAGGGGCTGGGGAGGGAGGGGCGCCGGTGCTGGCAGCCAGTGGAGAGAGTGGGCACTGGGCAGCCAAAGATACGGGGATATGGGGAGATGCTGGAGGGGGACTGGGACAGACTCTGACACGGCGGGCGATGGAGCAGGGGGAGCAGCCAGGGAGTTGCTCCGAGGTCTGGCAGTTGACGCTGGCTCCGTGCTCCTTTCCTACTGCCTCGGGCTCCTCAGCCTTATCACTTTCCTAATAACACCTCTGCGCCCAACCCCCCACCCCATCCAGGTCAACTCGTTGTGCTTCTCCCCCAAGAATGACACCTTCGTGTCCGCAGCGCAGGTGGGGGGGCAGGCGGGCGGGCGGAGGGGAAGGGGAGCGACATGGGGGCCGTGGTGTTGGTTGTGGTGGTAGTCAGGGGGGAGGCGTAGGGCTGCCCGCTGTCTGTGGGCCTGCCATGCCCCAGCACTGCGCCAGCCATGGACCGCTTACCTCCGCTGCTGTCCCTGACCACTGCCTTCCTCTTCACCGCTGCCTCAGGACAAGACGGCTCGGCTGTGGGACGTGCGCACAAACATCTGCCAGGGCTGTCTGCAGGTGAGCTGGGTGCTGGGTGGCAGGGTGGCAGGGAGGACGGTTGGGGAAAGGGCAGCTCTCGTCGGCTCTAATGAACCATGTTTATAATGTCTCATATTTGGTGTCTCATTTCGGCTCTATAGACCCGTGTCTGGTGTCTCAGAACTCTCAGCACTCGTCGCGGCCCGTCAGCTTACCAGCCCTCCCTCTTGCCGCGGCCGACCCATGGGTCAGGTTCCCGGCAACCCAACCGCCTCCATCGACCAGCAGGGGCTTGTGTTTGCAGTGGCAGCGGAGTCGGGAGTGATCAAACTGTACGACCTGCGATCTTACGACAAAGGGCCCTTTGACACGTTCACGGTAAGCGGGTGGGGTGGAGCAGAACAGGTGGTGGGAAGGTTCCGTATCCATGGGGTAGCGATGTGGAGGGGGGGAGGTTAAAGTGGAAGTGGTGGAGGGCGTCCACCGTCTGCATGTGTTCTCGAGCCTCCGCCAACCGCTATACCCCTGCCGGTATCGTTCTGCAACCACTGCGAATAACCCTGTACCCACTACCCCCCCTCCTTTCCCTCCTACCCTCACGCACCCCTCACGCAGGTTGAGGAGGAGAAGGGCTCCCCGGCTGGCTTCGCGGACATCCGCTTCTCCAACAACGGCAACCTGCTGATGGCGGTGGCGGAGGGGCGCATCTACCTGCTGGATGCGTACAAGGTAGGCAAGGGGGGCGGCCGGGGCTAAAAAGTACGGAAAACTAGGCAGGGGGGGAGGGAGGGAAAGGGGGCGGGTCGACTTTGTAGCTAGCTAATGCTGCTGCATGCTGCATGCCCGAGCACCTCCCTCCTCAATGCTCTTACCACACGCCTCCGCCAACCCTCCCCTTGCCTTCCCTCCCCTCCCCTCTCCTTCCCTCCTGCCCCTGCTGCCCCTCTCCTCCTCCCCCCCCTCAGGGCACGGTGTACAAGCGCTTCGCCAACGGTATCCCCGAGGCGGGGGGAGCGGTGGAGGCGGCCATCACGGCGGATAACCAGTACCTGCTCAGCGGTGAGAGGGAGGGGGGAGGGGAGGGGGCGAGAGGGAGGGAAGAGGAGGAGGGAAGGGGGATGCAGGGAAGAGGAGGGAAGATGCATGGGAGGGAGGGTGATCGTGCCAGCGCTCATCGTGCGGTACTGTCCTCAGCAGAGTGGGTGGCTTGGATCTTCACTTAGTCTCGGGCTAAAGCTGACACCTGCCTTACCTCCTTACATGTATGTCTGTGCCAACCCGCCGACTTAATCCCACCTCATTTCCTTATCTTACCCGCCCCCCCTATGGCTTCCTATGGTTCGATATGGTCTTTGAACCCCCTACGCACGTTCTCGCAGCCAGTTTCCTCAACACCCGCCTTGCCCCGTCTTCGGATATGGGATTGGAGCTCCAGTTGCTGCACTTTCTCATTTACCGGTATGTTTCCCCCGTCTCACCCCGCTGCCGCGCCGCCGCTCAGGCTGCGACGACCGCGCCATCCGCGTGTGGCACATCGAGAGCGGTCGCGAGGTGGCCACCTGGCAGGGGCACTCGCAGGTGCCGGGCTGCCTGCGCATGAGCGGGCGGCGTGCGCTGGTGGCGAGTGCGTGTACGGCGCTGGTGCTGTGGATACCCAACTTGAAGATACTGGAGGGGTTGCCGCCGGCGTGATCTGGAGGGGAGGGGTTAAGACCATCCAGAGGGAAACGAACCCGTTCTAATGGTGGGGAGGGGAGGGAAAGGGAAGGGAAAAAGAAAAAGGGTTTGGAGGGCTTGAGATGAGAGGAATGGGGACGTGAGAGGTGAAGAGGAGTGAAGGAGGCAAGGAATGGGAGTTGGGAGGTGGGTTTGGGTGGGGCGGGGCAGGGTGGGGTTCCCTTTTTGGAAGGTGCTGGTTGCTTGGATGGCGCCTTATGGGCGGATCAACAGCTGTTTACTGTGGGTTAAGTAATGCTGTTGGTCGGTGCCGAGCTGGAACGTAGCGGCACCAGGCTGTGTTTGATACCACGCTCATGTTCCTTTCCGGACACACTGTACACGCGTACAGACTGGAACTGTAATCGTAGCTGTTTCTTTACTTGTGAAGAGGGCAGTGCCGAAGTGCCGGCTACCCCGAGTCCCCTGCTGAAGTCGTGTGGAAAGAGCCAGCCGCTGCACACTCATGACTACACGGTGTGTCTCCTTGCGGCGCAACCTGCGCACCTTCACCGTACTTTGTAACAGGCACAAATACGGATTAGCGTGTGTTCACTTTAACTCTCTGTCTTTTGGTTTCATCATATCTGTCTTATGTTGGGCGACAAAGCACGCTCAACCGTGTTAGGGCCTGCTCAGGCTGTTTGGTTACAAGGCATAGGATGGGGGGGCATAGGGACGACCATGGGACATGGATTACTGACGTGAAATGGAGGCACAGGCAGGCTCGAGCATGTCTTGTATGACAAAGTATGCTCAGCCGTGTTTGGCCGTGCTCAGGTCTGTTTAGGATGGATGCGCTCGCGCTAGGACTACCCATGACACCCATGTGTGAAAGCGTTAAAGAATACATGAATACAGGAAGGCTTGGCGCTAAGAAGAGCCTTGCCAGCCTTACGTAAGCCTGCTGCGTAGCTAAAGCCAGAGTGCTTAAACTTAACAAGCCACGGTTCTTGAACAGAGAATCGTTCTTCTGCGCCCATGATAGTCTGTACAGACACATGTGCATGTCTGACCTTGAGACGTCCCTTGGCTTTAATTACGTGATAGCACCTGGCAACGAAGATGCCTTTCTCGTTTGCAATTATACCGAGGATCAACACATAACTCCGATTCCTACCTAAACACCAAGCAACTGGTAATCGAAGGCATATGCCACCTCGAAAGCGTTGCCCCGGGTTTTCTTACGATATGCACTACGACCCCAAAGCAGAAGGTAACAAAGCTTTGATTAAGTGATAGCATTAAACGAGACATATGCTAGCTATGTGAGCACACCAGAGATTGGGAGTTAGGTCGTAAGTTGCTTGGACGATGATCATCTCGTTACTTTCCGCGGGCTCGGTCTCTAGAGCCTGAGTCTCTACGGGTAACATCGCTCGTTATACAACCTCATTTTATACCATCATTTAATGTTCAACGGGTCTGATTGCTCGGTATTGGAGCTGAACGGCTCAATAACCGTTGTGTCCGAGCTGCAACGGGCACATCATCCGTACGATCTAAACATTCCGCACTTTATCAAGGGCTTTAAAAGGATGATGATGACATCCAAAAGATCATCCTGGCATAATTTAAGACCCAGGCACTTATAAAGTATACCCGGCGGTCAGCGTAATGGCCGCACCGCGGCTCGCCGGCATACTGCTGGCGCTGTGCTTTGCAGCGGAACTGAGCGTTTGGCCGGCAGGTAAGCCTGCAAGGGCACTCACCGTATGCGCAAGCGGCTGCCGCAGCAGTCACCGACTTTTGATGATATGTACAAATCCTTTCATTCTGGGTTTCTATTTCCCTTAGGTGCTCTCGCTTTTCGCGGCGTACAGGCCTTGCTGTTTACCTAGGGTGCATGGTGCATGTCGTCGTGTCATCCGTGCCTATCCCATTTCGCAATCAGCTTGTTGTGCGCCGTAATGGAATAGGCACACTACACCCGACGATGGTATACCAAAGTCCCGCCCTTTCCTTCACGTTCACAGTTGTTGCTGGCGCTGGGACGGCCGTTGCCGTTGGCAGCAGTGCAAATGGCAACAACGGCAATGGTAATGGCAACGGCAATGGTAATGGCAACGGCAATGCATATGGCAAGAAGTCACCACCCCCTCCACCCAGTCCTTCACCGCCGAGCCCCAAGCCACTGCCCAGTCCACTGCCTCCCAGCCCTGAGCCGTTCAGACCTCCTCCCACCAACCCACCACCGCCGAGGCCCAAGCCACCAAGCAAGCCCCCTCCGAAAAGCAAGCCCAGCCCTCCACCTCCCAGGCATCCACCTCCCAGCCAACCGCCCTTGAGCCCTGAGCCGTCCCGCCCTTCACCACACAGCCCTTTACAACCTAGCGCACCTCCGCCGAGCCCTCCCCCTCCCAGCCCACCCCCTCCGCCAAGCCCTCCCCCTCCCAGCCCACCCCCTCCGCCGAGCCCTCCCCCGCCCAGCCCACCCCCTCCGCCCAGCCCTCCCCCTCCCAGCCCACCCCCTCCGCCGAGCCCTCCCCCTCCCAGCCCACCCCCTCCGCCCAGCCCTCCCCCGCCCAGCCCACCCCCTCCGCCGAGCCCTCCCCCGCCCAGCCCACCCCCTCCGCCGAGCCCTCCCCCTCCAAGCCCACCCCCTCCGCCCAGCCCTCCCCCGCCCAGCCCACCCCCTCCGCCCAGCCCTCCCCCTCCCAGCCCACCCCCTCCGCCGAGCCCTCCCCCGCCCAGCCCACCCCCTCCGCCCAGCCCTCCCCCTCCCAGCCCACCTCCTCCGCCGAGCCCTCCCCCTCCCAGCCCACCCCCTCCGCCGAGCCCTCCCCCTCCCAGCCCACCCCCTCCGCCCAGCCCTCCCCCGCCCAGCCCACCACCTCCGCCGAGCCCTCCCCCTCCCAACCCACCTCCTCCGCCCAGCCCTCCCCCTCCATACCCACCCCCTCCGCCGAGCCCTGAGCCGCCCAGCCCTGAACCACCCAGCCCTGAACCGCCCAGCCCTCCCCCTCCCAGCCCACCTCCTCCGCCCAGCCCTCCCCCTCCCAGCCCACCTCCTCCGCCCAGCCCTCCCCCGCCCAGCCCACCTCCTCCGCCCAGCCCTCCCCCTCCCAGCCCACCCCCTCCGCCGAGCCCTCCCCCTCCCAGCCCACCACCTCCGCCGAGCCCTGAGCCGCCGAGCCCTGAACCACCCAGCCCTGAACCGCCCAGCCCTCCCCCTCCCAGCCCACCTCCTCCGCCCAGCCCTCCCCCTCCAAGCCCACCCCCTCCGCCAAGCCCTCCCCCTCCAAGCCCACCCCCGCCCAGCCCTGAGCCGCCGAGCCCTGAACCGCCCAGCCCTCCTCCCAGCCCTCCTCCCAGCCCACCTCCCAGCCCTCCTCCCAGCCCACCTCCCAGCCCACCTCCCAGCCCTCCTCCCAGCCCACCTCCTAGCCCACCCCAACCACCAGGTGCGCCCTACCCGCATAGGCACTGAACCAACTAGACCGCAACAGGGGAAGCATGCATTGTTCTCCATGTTTAGGAGGCATGGCATGAGAAGCAAGCATCATACTCGCTCCTTCGTGTTCTCAGTTGGGTTCATTCATGCCCGGGCCCTGTTATATCGTTGGGTTACATGCCTGGTGTAAAGGATGCATGGGGAGACATATGCGAAAAAAAGACCATCATGATTGACGTGAAACGGAGGCCCGAGCAGCCCTAAGCAGCTCTCAGCATGTGCCGTGCGACAAGGCACGCTCACCACCCCAGCATCCCTCACCACATCCCTCACCGCAACCCTCCCCGCCCGCCACTCACACCGCCGCCGACCCCACCACGCACCGTCACCACGTCGGCCTCGGAACATCTACCACCAGCTCCTCCACCGCCTCCGCCACACTACGGTACGTAGGTCAACAAGCAGCAGGGAGGGGTATGCATGTGAGCAACATCGATTAGAAACTAAACCAACAGGTTCACCGATCCGAGTGAGCTGAGGGCTGGTAGCCAGCGGTAGAGCCTCTCACGAAAACATCCATGCATTCACTCATGCAACAGATGCCCCAACTCCTGCCCACAACATGCGGGTTGGTTGGCTGATGATAAGCTCCTCACTCGCTCACTTGCCCAGTGCTTGCTGATCATCTTGCGTGTCGTTCCCGCAGAGCTCCCTGGCTACTTGGGCACCTGCGTCAAAGACACCAACAGCAGTGACCGCGCCATGACGAAACTATCGACTAGCGACTCCGGCATGTCGGTGGAGAGGTGCCAGGCGCTGGCAACTCGAAGTGGTGAGAGTGGGGAAACCTGTGGCCACCTGGTCATTTTCAATGCCAGAGTTTCCCAGCAGACCCATGGGGCGGTTGGCATGCAGAACGCCCTCCCGAAAACTCTCAACATCCGAATGCTGACGTTTGGGCGGGACGTTTGATTCCCCTTTCCTGAACAGGCTACAGCTTCTACGCTGTAGAGGGCGGCAGCGACTGCTACGGTGGGTGCCAATATCGACAAGCTTACGACCTCCCTGCGGTACGGCGTGTGGTCCGAGTCGCTCGACCTCTGCTCGACTCGCTGTTCCGGCAACAGCAGCGAGATCTGCGGTGGCGCCTCCGCAGCCACCCTGTACCTAAACTTGGAGCCGTACGTGTACCTCGGCTGCTACAATGAGTCCCTGGATCCCAACCGGGGGCTGCCCACGAAGCTTGAGGAGTCCTCCCAAATGTCAACTGCAAAATGCCGAGCTGCGGCACAGACACAAGGTATGCCTGGCAGCAGGTCGAGCAACATGTGCATGTACGTCGTACATGTACATGTTGCCGCTATCAGGCATCTTAACCCCTGCAATTGGAATGATTTCAGCGCCCTACCTAATGAAGTGCCCTGCCTTATACACCCACTGCTGTGCAGGATATCGTGCCTATGGCGTCCAGTATTCCGTACAGTGCTGGGCTGGCAACGATCTGGTTAAGGCCATCTCCTCCGGCGCGAATCCTGGCGGTTGCACGATGGCGTGCGCAGGGGGAAGCTGGGAAAAGTGTGGCGACGGTTATCAGAACAACATGTACGTTAACGTGAACTCCACTGGCTATCTTGGCTGCTTCGGGGA